CTTCTGCTGGATTCCAGCTTTTCCGAAATGAGTGACACTCATGTTACCCTCTTCTTTTCCTTGATTTGCTGTTCCTGGTTGTGTTTCCTCTGTTCGTCCTGGTGTTTCTGGGCCCAGCCCATCAAGACATCAGCAAGTCTACAGCAAAAGTGGTGACATTTATGAAATGTAAAAAATATTCAGCCAGTTATTTTTCAGAATATTCAGAAATCACGGAACAAGAACGTTCCATGCCAAGTGGATTTAAAGTCTTTTTTTCCACTCCTTTTTTAGCAGGTTTTTTCACAGGTTTTTTTCACAGGTTTTTAAAAAAACCTGTGAAACAGTAAAACCTTGTGGCAAAATATCAAATGTTAACCCTCTTTTTGCTGCAACAGTCGCAGCGCAGTCAAAAAATTCCTTCCACTTCTGCCTCTACAGTACACAGACATATCAGGAGTCATTCAAATAATTTTGACTGGTGGGACAACTTGGTGTAGATTGCATCTTTGCATCGGAGGGTTGAGGGGAAAGAATGTGACTTCCAGGCTCTAAAATGTTGAGGATTTTAAGGAGGGAGTGGGTGGGTTGTGTGTGAACTTACTTGGGATTTTAGCATGGCTATGCAACTGTCTAGAAATCAATGGCAGTCGAATTTTACCTTACTAGGTGAGAATGGATGCTTTTAATGAGGTTGGGGACATATGGCAAAATGGGACCCAACTGTTAATTCTTACCTGTGCGATTCAGTCACGTTGAACTGGGGGCAAGACGGCTGCTCCTTGGACAGCATGTAGTCTGCCATGTCCCGGATGACCATCAGCTCCTTCCGGCTAAGCGGATTTTGGGGGGCGCCGTTCTCGTCCGTTACGTTATGCATTGCTGCCTCGATGCGGCTGTAGGCTGTGTGCTGCCGCAGATCGCTGCCCTGTGATTGGCTGAGTGACGGGGGGGTTTCTGTGTAGCCCAACAGTGCTCGCCCCCCGTGGCGTGATGTTGAATAATCGTCTCCTTGTGAGCTGAAAATACTGTCCAAAAAAAAAAAATGTTTCAGGACAACAGACCCTGTCAGGGTTGGTCTTCAAACTTTTTTGAGCCACTGAGAATTGAGAGACATATTGAGCACCGCCTCAATTTTTCCTGTAACTGTTGCAGTGCTACTTTATGCACAAGTTCCAAAGTAAGACCGCTGATATATCTGATTTGCGCCATGTCCTGTGTGTCTTGTTTATCCGAACATTCAGCATTTACTCAACTACACGTTCAACATCCGTCCCTTCTCTCGGAGCTCAGTACTCACCTGAATGGCGCCAGGTTGAATCCCAGGAGCAGCATGACGGCTAAGAGACAGGTGGTCGTCTTGTTCGAGGACGGTAGTAATGACTGCGTTTTCCTGAGTCGATTGTTCTGAAACACAGAAAGGGTTGCTTGCCCTCAGAACTTCCAGTTGGAACAGTTTGGACTCCAAATCTAAAGTTGCAGGGTCATTGAGTCTTGAGAGGCACTCAATACATAATACATGTGCCACTGACTTCATACATCGTGAAGAAGTCTGCAAGACTTTCAGAAAAGCTCTCAACAAAAATGCACAAGGGTTTAGTTTCAAGGAACCGTGAACATCAGCCTTTGGCTCCTCTTCTCGTTTTGTACAATATCATCCTTAAAATTTCTTGGTTGAACTATACACCACCAACCTTTTAAGTTTTGACTGAATCTGTCTCAATACACAAAAGAACACAAGTTGATAGTCACTTGTGACAGACCCCTTAAGACACGGTGTAATGCAAGACAGCTATCTGCTCTGAGTGCAATAGCCCCCTCACAAGCAGTGCGGGGGGGGGGAGAGTAGGGTACCCCTTGGGGGACACATAATGCCATTTTTTCCCTTATCTTAAGGATTGAAAGCGCTGACACTTGAAATAAAGTCCCTTAAACCTCATTGTGGCATAGAGTGTACAGATGGAAAAACATGTTGCCAATCACCTCAGGGGGAAAACTTGCCATTTTACCCACGACCAGGACTTAAAACGTGCAGAGTTTCTGCTCGCCAGTGACAAAGACTGAAGTTGTTTTAACGACCGAAAATCACTGGTGCTTAGCGCCTCTGCGAGTATGCAACACATCTGTGGAATTCATACATCATCTCAGACAAATGTGAACAAGCAAGCAAACTTAGTCTGCAGCCATAGAGCCGATCCCTGCTCAGTGAAAAAGGCTATTAAACTTTCTTCTTGCGCACATTTAAAAGCCAATGAGCCTTGAGCTGGACCGAGAGAGGCTGCAATTTTCCTAGCAACGGAGGCTCCCTTGGCTTTGGTGGGACCTGAATTTTGCTGGTTCACAAACGACTACGAAATGCATACGTTACGGTCGCGTCGCTACCAACAAACTGAACACTCCCCACCAACATGGCTCTTTTCAAACGATGAGGGGGTGCTTCTGCTCAAGGCAGAAGCAATAAGCCAACCCACGCGCAAGGTCTGGTACCTCATTGGTCAGTTCCTCCACTCTCTTCCTCAGCAAGCCATTCTCCTCCCGTAATCTGACGTTCTCCTGATCGATGGATTCCATCCTTCCCTCCAGACCTTGTAAGTACTACATGGCACAAGACAATAAAAAATTTGATACCGTGTTACCACAGGTTCTCTGTAGAGGTGCGACCCTTAGCAGAATGTCCACGAGACATTCTGTCTCGTGGAGAAAAGTAGCAAGAACCACTTCACCACAGATGACGTGTGATTGGCAGTGATTTCCTTTCTGGGGTTTAAAAAAAAAAAACAAAAAAGCAACAATAATGCAGCAAGAAATGTCACACAGATCTTAAACAAATGACCAGCGGAAAGTGTCGGCATTTGTCCTGGAGAACTCTGCGAAGAACTGTGCTTCTGTTTTCTCCTCCCCTTAAAAACTTTATAATTGGTTGAAAAGAATGCAGAAGCTGGGACAAGTTTCTGAGGCTTAAAACCGTGATGCCACCAAGAGGAAGAAAAGGGCACAGCACCGTGTTTATGTGCATTGGTAATGTCGCCTTATATAGCATCATGAGTTGGATGCAGTTTTTTTACACACTGACAAACTTGCTCGCTTAGACATACAAACTCGCTAAGCAGAGACACGCGCTTAGCAGACTTTGCAGGTTATCCGCTTACGATTGATTAGAGATACTGAGTGACTTGGAGGTGTGTTATGTTATTCCAAGATGACAACAAGTTTTGCTTGCATGAAATTTTCACCTCTTTTTTCTTTTTCCTGGATAAACACGCCGACTCCCTGTTTTTGATCATTCTCTGTTGCCTCTTCCATGCTCGAAGCTGGAAAATAAAAACAAATCGCATAATCAAGTTTAAGAACAAATTTACAAATGCGTACAGGATACCAGCATCATGCATGTTTTTGGTGGAACTGCACATCATTTAGGCAGTGGGCAATACTGTCAGCAAGGTGACAGAAGGCAGATTTCATCTCCGTCATTAAAGTTTGCCGGCACATATGGATGTTTTGTAACAATTTCAAGCAGTCTGCAATCTGGCAACTTCAGGACTTGAAACCCGGCTATTACCCCAAAAAAGTTGCAGTAATGGCAAGAAAATTTTTAAAAAGTAGATTTGAAAAATGATGCTTACATCGACATTGGCCGGCGGCTGCTGATTGTTGGCCGGCTTGGTGGCTACGGGAATGCTGCTGGCCACCGTGTGGTCGGAGGCCACTTTGGCCTGCTTGGCCGGTGGCGGCTGGCACTTGATCACACCCTGGGCAGTCAACCGGGCAACGTCGGCCTGGGTCAGCACGATCGGCTGGCCAACTGCAAACAAATCGACAATAAACTTCCTCATTTTGTGATGAATCAAAGTCACTTCAGATTTCAGTGACTTTCACCCCGGTGCTTATCTCATCAAGTCATTTTCTAACCCAAACTTGAAAATCTCTACCCAGGAGTATTCATAAATCTTTCTCTGGTGATGACAAGGCAGCTCCATCAAGTTTGCTGGCAGGACTATACCTAACGGGGCCTGGGAGAACCGGGGGACATGATTAAGACATAAAAACAATCAGTTTCAGACATGGGAGAAGAAAAATCTGAGGAACCGAAGAACCGAGGAATGGCTAGAAAAAAAAACCCCGAATCTACAAGTCAGTGTGGAGGGGCTGCTTCTACGACTGCCTGGCAAGACTAATTCCAGAATTGTAGGAAACTTGAACCAGCCGCCTGGCTTTACCATGGAAAGGCCAGCCCAAGCTTAGGTAAAGCAGGGGCCTTTGGCCTTTTTTAAACACCCTGCTGTGAGCAAGATGCTCTCCACGACCAGCCTCTTCTCTGTCCTGGCTCACTGTTCCCACCAACTTGACTGGCAGTTCCAGTCGGCTTTGATACGAGTTACTTGCACAGTGATATGCTACTTAGCGGTACGTAGCCAGGGTATCACCTGAGGTGGGTGGATTGTAAATCTTGCCAGGCCTTCTAGAGGCCTCGCTTCATTGATTGGTTTCACCTCTGTTGTAAGGTAGTAAGGGGGTAAAACCAGCAAGGTCGCGGATTGGAAGGCCCAGATACTGTATGGCTTTTACGTGGTGCCGCCACGCCTCTCGTTCTGGCTTCTTTCCTTACCAGGTATCGGCTTGGTCGCGGACGGCTTTCCTGTCTGCTGTTGATGGGGCCCCTTGGGTGCGATCGGGGGGACGGTCGACTTGGCTGGGTTCTTGGGAGCAATGCGGGGCACCGTCGTTGTTTTGATCGCCCCATTAGCCAGTGGGAAATGCTGGACGTCGGCATTGTCTCGGGGTGGGGTCAGGGGCGGGGACTCCAGCTTGACTTGGAGGAGGGGGTTGGGGAAATTCTGAAAAGCAAATATGCACACAACCGTGTTATTCAAGCAAATGCAGAGCACTGGATGACGCACGAGTTAGTCAGCCAAGACTCCAAATTCAGCAAGTCCGAAAAAAGGATCCACTCTTAAAACAGTAAGCTCTAGTCTCCTTAATAACCCTAACTCCATAGAGTGATTTACTAGGAACCGTACCCATTCACACAAATTCCAACACCATATGGTAAACTGTGCACAAAACGTTTTGGACTCTGTTTATTTTGGGTATGCCTGAACCCATGTTAAAGCACAAGCAGTTTAGGGGTACAGTACCCAGTGCCACAAATTCACACACTTTACTGGTGTTCAATTCTGTGTGGTTAGGGAAGGTTAGGGGTTAAAGAAGTAATCTCTCTCGCTACGTACCAGAGGGCACAAAAGATTGCCTTGGGATAACTCTGTATTCATGAATGCATACGGGCAATGTATACACTGAAACATACACAGAGGTCAACATGGCACAAAATTGAAGTCGCAGTATGTGCCAAATGTGGCAAAATAAATATGGCAAACTTGACAAATGTGGAAGGCCTACGGACAGTCTGACAGGTTATTTTTATTGGGATGTGGTGAATTGATTCGATTTCATTTGGAAGTTACATGTATATCTATTTAACTTTGTGAGCGACTTTTAACCATACTGTACATGGGTTGGAAACACACACACAAAAGGAGATTCCATATACTCACTCCATCCGGTTCAAAATAAGTCTTTGCTTTTGCCGCATCCTACAATGTCAGAATCCTCTCAACAGACTGCCGTTATCGACGGTGGCGGCTTTCCAACATCGGTTTAAAAAGTATCAGACAGGGGAGTAAGGGACCACCTTTCTTGGAGGTGCCTACCTTAACAGGAGGGAAAGAATCCCCGGAGGCATCGGAGGATGAGGAGGACGGGGGCGGAGACAGAGGCTCCGACTTGATGGCAATACCTGTGGGACAATCAGGCATTAATCATCGTTAAAAAAAAAAAACCCTGGTATGTCAAATTGAATCTTTTCCTATTTTGCACTCTTGACCCTAATCTTCCCCAACCACACAGAATTAAACAGTAGTAAAGTGTTTTAATTCTGTGGGGATAGGTCTGGTGGGCCCATAACAGCGGGCTTTTGCATTGGGTTCGGCATACCTCAGAAAAACAAAGTCCAACAGCCCCTGTTCGCAAAGTCCCATAGGGGTGTTTGATTTGGTGTGAATGGGGAAGGTTAGGGCCGGCAACCCTTGGGGGGTTAGGGTTAAAAAACGTTAATTAAAGTTGTGAAAGGAAATCTGAATACCCAAGCCAAAACATACCACTGCTGTATGCAATGATTATTAATTTTTTATCAGATCCCTTTAACATGTTGATACGCTTTCGTTTCATTCCATTTTAATCTTTTGTGGTATATTCCAGTGGAATTTAGAAACAATCAAGGATATGGCTGCTGATGCAATGTACAGGCAAACTACCGATATGCTTGTTTCCAGTTTGGAATCCCATGACTTGGAGCAAGTGTGTGCTCTTTTTAAGGCATGGATTCTGCCTGCTCAGGCTTTGAATTTCACAAAACCTACCTTCAATGGTGCATAAACTTTGCTGTTCTCCTTTGATCCATGGATAATCGGAGAAAGTGGTGTCATCCAGCATGCCATGACCGGTGCTGTCGCTGCCAGTCGGGTCCGACTACAAACCAATTAAAAAAAAAAAAGGGGAGGGGGGTAGTAAGGGAATTTCTCAGCAAGAGGTGAGTAAAATTGTGCTACTTTAACACAAAAATATTTGACATTGCTTTTGGGTCTAGGTGTACTGAAAAGTGCACTAAATTGTCATTTAATTTTGTCCATACTTTTCTGGACAATTGAGGGTGCCGGTGCTATGATGTCAGTCAGAAAAACATTGTGCATTTAATGCGTTTTTGGTTCGATTCATATTGGGAAACCACACTGCTTGCTGGAAACATTTCTGAAAATGGGTAGCTTATTAGTTTATTATGAAGCACTAATGCAAAAATAAATTAACAAAAGAAAAGAAAGAAAATATGGAAAATTCCAGCACTTTTTGCCAAACAATCAAACTGGCATGTTGAGGTTTTCTTCCCAGGAAGACATGAAAGTATTTGCTCATGAATATGGAAATATTCACTGGTGTAAAAGCTAAAAGGCACCAAAAAAACGATTGAAAATAGCAAACCAAAATTTAAACATAAGGTATAACTTATTTCAAGGGTGGCATTAAAAAATTTCATTGCATAGACTCTTTAAGCTCACTGGCCACTGCAAACATCTGTGTGAATACATCTCCAAAGCTGCGCATATGTCATCAAGCCTGGCATTCTTTCGGGCATAAAGCCACGCATATGCTAATGTTGTGCTTCGGGCTCATTACCATACCAACCGATATGCAGCGTGTACATTCTGATAGATGTAGGACTGGTTTCATTTCTGCATAATTTACAGTATCAGACATGTCAGCTGCCAAGCATTCTACTGGGCTGTTTTTTTAATTGATTTTTTTTTTTCAGATAAGGCATCTGTTGTCTATGACATCAATCAGTCCAGGAAAGTCTGATATCAAAAAATTATAAATGCCATTTTGGAGGGTCCAACCACTGCAAACAATCCTTCACAGAAACCTAAATCAAACATGAGCAAAGAATTCTGAATTCATTAGTATAAAGTCTCAACCACAGCAATGACAGCACGATGTAGTTTGCAATCCATCCAGTTTTGCAGCAGTTCTGTGGCACTGGAGAATTTAGAAGTTGGCATCACTTTAGAATAGATCCCTTCTCCCTCCAAAAAGGAAGCACCCACAGAAAAAAAAATACAAAAGCAAAAACAGAAACCCCGAAAAATGTGAACTCCATCGTGCAATCAAAATATTATTTGCAACCAATAAGAGCAACAAAATGAAATAAAACATTCAATTCTCCAGGGAAAAAAAGAGAGGAAAAAATCAAAAAAGAAAATCCCTGCCTGAAATGGAATTCTGTGGAGAAACCCTCTGGTCAAGGCATTCAAAATTGAACAAAACGTTTACAAAAACATTACAAATTATAGCTTTTCCTGAGATTTTAAATTCTGTGCAGGTGAATAAAGAACAATCCTCAACTATCCTCAATCAAAACCCACTTGAAGGCGAACATGAAAATGTTTTCCTGTGGGCAACACTGAATTTAAGATTTGGCAGATCTTTTTGCTGTGTGTATTTTCCCTCTTTTGTTGCCACAAAACACAAAAAAGCACAAACCATCTTTCATGGTTTACCCGATCCATAAAATTTAAACTAAAAATAGAAAAAAAAAATGACTCCAGTTTCAAGAAAATTTTCAAAATCCAAAAGGTGTATAGCCAGTGAACCATTCTGTCTACCTCGTATGTCGTGAAATCACGAACAAGCTCGTCAGCATCCGGAAAGCCGCTGCCAAGACCGTTGTCATGGAAATGAGAGAAGTCATCCCCTGAAGAAAGGACAAAAAAAATCAAATCAAACATCAACACCAAAGCAATAAGGAGCTGAGGACAACAATTCACACCGTCAATCTTTTTGTGTCGCCGGAAAAATTCCTAATCGACTTCATGTGCTGAGCATGCACGGACAAATACAACCAGTATGGTCAGGAATAGTTTGTCAAAGGTTTAGTAGCGATGAAGGGGGGGCTAATTGACCAGATGAAGTCAAACTACAGTCTAACCTCGTCAATAAGAGCAGTCAATACAACATTTTGCTCATAACAAGGAAATTTTGAAATCCCAATCTTTTTTCCTCATCATTTTCATTCCTGAAACAGCAAGGTTTCTGTAAAACCAAGGTCATTTGCAAAGCTAAGAAAAGAAATACAGAAATGGGGTGGTAATTTTTTAATCAATAATCCTAACAATCGATCGGGGCTCTTCCACGTTCAATATAATTTTTCACACTCCCCATTAAACAAACCAAAAATCCAAAATTGAAAATTAAGATCTCCCAGAGGGTGACGTATATCCATCAAAACAACGATGTAACGTTTCTGACTACTGTAGTTCTAGCAGACCACACAAATTGGTTTCCTTTTGTTTTCTCTGTGGACCCTCTTCCATTGGTGTGTACGAAGTGACACAATACGTTCGCAGCGGCAATTCCTGAGGCCTTTGTGACGTTGATCATGCCTAGTCAACCATGAACGTCAGGGGAAAATTATAATTTCTGAAGGCATATTATAATGGGCTGTAAGTAACAGTTCCCAAGAGAACTACGGCAAGGAGTATATGGAACAGCTTGTAATCAACAAAATATGACAGATTCTGAGAAAATTGGACAGTACTGATCAAAGTCACTATTTAGAAATTATGAAAGAGAGTTCAATTCAAACTGTTGAATAAATTGCCAGCGTAGAGTGTCAAACGTGCATTGTACCTGGCAAAAGTAGCAAATTACCAAGCATTTTTGCTTACTGATTAAATCTGCTGAATATGTATTTGATACAAGTTAGTAATACTCATAACAGTTTCAGTTTGATGAAGAATGGACGGGTGGATGGGTGGAATATTTTAATATCTGCTTGAATAGAAGGAAACAAAGCACCCTTGCTTTTATGCAATCATGGGTTTGCAGTTATAGCAAATTACATCGTCAGAGAAAATTCAGTGAAAGAAACGGCGTCAAAATGAGTCTAAGACTGCTTTAAATGCAATTTTACTATTGAGAGTCATGATCAGGCTCTTCCATCCGATGTATTATTCATAAGACCTACATGTCATATGACAGCTCTTCTCTTTATTCAAGACTGCATGGTTTGCTTGCCTTTAAGTAAACACTGCTCCCATATATGTTGTTTGATATCTAAAACTCACAGCGCGTCTAATTTTCTGTTGATGCAGGGAAACGTTCATTAAGAAATTCAAAATAAAATGCACTAATTAATTTCAAAGGACAGTCTGCTGGAACTGTATGCAGAATTCTAATTGAAAGGATTCCCTTCTATCCAGGGTTCTTTCGAATAAATTAAGCTGAAAAATGAACAACTAGGCAAAAAAAAAATCAGTGAATTAAAAATTAATATGAGGTCATTATTTTTGTGTACATGTATTTCTTTGATAATCCAGTCTGTACTTTCACCTTATTTCGTCAGAGGTAAAAGATTGAGAGAACCCTTGTAGCATGTACATGTAGCCCTACAAATGGGGCCTGGATGTTGGAATACATATATACACCTGTACCTCTGTATCCTGGGCCCTTTCTTCAGTTGGACAGTGACAGAAGTCAACTAAAATGTTGTTTCCACATGGTAATTTTTTTTTTTCGGTTTGAAAAAGTCACTGCCTTAACAGCGAGGTAGACCCTCCCCACCGCGTCAGGCATTCTGTCTGGCCTCAACTTAATGAAAAATTTTCAGATGAAAATTTGAAAAGTCGCAGGTTTGATAAACCTCTTGGCATTAAAGGTCAACTTCAAAATGCCTGGAATACAGCAACCCCCCTCTTGCAGATGAGAGGGTAAGGGTGGTGCCAAAAGTGAAAAAAAAGCAAACGCTATATGTGTGGAAAAAGTACAGCGACTTCCCATCACTATTTATAGAGCACTTCTAGTGAGTCCCACAACAAAAGGGTAGACAAGACCCACAATTATGAGGCTGCATTCCAAGCAGCTAGTTAGAGAAAGTCCTCCAAGTCTGTGGTGCCTGTTTGAGAGATAACGCCAGGGGGATAAGAACATTGCATCTACCGCGAGAACTGTGGGGTTTGTCGTCTGTCGCGGACGGCAGCGACGATGGTGGACATGGTGGATGACAAACCTTGCAGTTCTGGGGCTATGTTGCATCCAGGTTCATGGGAAGTCAACAAAAATTCCAAAGTAGGCTATTTAGCAAAATGGGAAATTATTCTCAGCCCCAGATTAATGTTTTTTCAACACTTCTGCAATGACTGACCTTTATTGAGATGATAAATGACGAAACGAGAGGACGGAGGATGCAACATTGTTTTTTAATTTTAAACTTTAATACACAAAATTTCAGAAACACTTGCACTAGTAATACTAGTAGTGAGCCTACGGCCTACATGTACTAGGCATATCAAATATTCCTAACTGAAGTACATGTGGGTTCTTAATTTTGATTTTCATAATTTTTGTCTTCAGATCGAAAAATAGCAATGGGCATGATGGCGAGTGTAATTCAAGCTTATTGACTATCACTGACAATTCCTCCCCAAAAATAATGAACGAATCAACCAATTAGCGAACGGACAAAAAGGCGAGACAGCTAGTAAAACGAGCCCAGAATCCGTGGCAACAATGGTATACCGTGGCCCGTACAGTGTCGCACGACGCGAAGACGGAGCGGACACGGCCCAATCACATGAAGCTATCGCACGGTAATTGGGAAAGGGACAACGGTTCTGTAACAGTTCACTTGAAGGCATTTCTTACCCCAGTCTTCCGACGACAGGAGATTGTCTGCGAGGAACCTGGTGTCAGGTGTACTGATAAAATCCAGGGCCATTTTCCAACCAAAAACGTGTGCAAATAATGCAGCATTTATCGCTACACCACCCACTTTCCTTTCTCTCTGTTTATACGTGGATTTACTATTAAAATAGACTGTACACCGGTATTACTCTACAGGCGCAAGTAACCTGCATGCATAAGAGGCTGGGACCATGCACGACGCACGCTATCATATGTACATGTACATATGTACATGTACATATATGTGTACGTGCTCACTTCCCATTCATGGTTCTTCCATTCTACCTGCAGGGGAAAAAAGGTAACAGTGGATTACACTATCATAGTTAATGAAAATATTCTAAAAAATTAAGAGTAATAAATGTAAAGAAAATAATATTTGAGACCAAAATTTTTATCACTTGTAAGCACTTCAACCATTATGATTTAAATTAAAAGAAAACAGGGGATTCAATTGTAGAGAAGTCACCTCATTGAGCAATGGTACATAAGGACACAAATTGAGACTTTTGTTGGTTTCTTGAAAATAACTTTGACGTCATTGTAATCCAAATGTTTTGCAAACTTTGATTTAAGCACATTGGAGTTAGCAGTTTCTTCACTCCATTAAAAAATTCCCTTCAAAAGTACATGTAACATACTTAAGGAGTATGTACATACATTATAGCTGACAGTTTTTCTCATGCAGGTTTGTTAGAATTTGTAGTGGACGAGTCGAAGTTTTCAGCATGGCGGCGCCCATGTCATGCATGTTGCGATGACCGACCGTCATGACCGTACATAGTACATGTACGTGCAACCCAAGTGTAAATCCCTTGTTTCTTTACGGAAATCAGACTGTTTTGCCCTGAAAGAAGCTTTGCCAGAGGTGAAATGTTTCGATCATGCATCGCACCGAAATCCCTGGGTATAAATTGCCGGTTTGTACACGAGAAAGGCATCTACTTGCGGAACGAGAGTATCGGCCGGCATGTACGTAGGTGGTGCAGAGCCAATATTGGCAGTCACGGCTGTGCACCAACAACTGCTGCCTGTGTTAGCACTAGCAGCCAAACTGGTTCCAACTATGCCGACGGCCGTGATGGAAAGGACAGCAAGTCTGACAGGATGCAAGGGAAGCTTGAAAAGATGCGCAGACGACAACAGAGGCAAGACCAACTTGAATCATCGCACTTGCAAAAAAGTGGAAAGGTTAGGCCTGTGGAATTGTCTAAAAAAAGTGCACATCTCTAGCTCTAGCCTCTAGAAGAACTCTGGGTGGGTATCAATGATGATGAACCCGGAGTACTAGGGGTAGGCCTAGCCTATTTCTTCTAGCTTCTGATGTCTATAATTCTGCTTTTCGTTTCTTTTTAAAATTAACTGAGGCCTAGGCCTATTTAAAAGATTTACTTTCTTTAGTACTAAACAAACATTTCCAACACAAAGAATTCCATACATGCTGTAACCCACCATCATTACCACACCTACAGCCAAACATTTCTGTCAAAGTGTCATGGCCCACAGACTTTGTGAGTTTGTGCACAAGGTCTTAATCATACATGGGGATCAGATATCAAACCTTTTCCTTTCCAACAAGGTGCAGCTGTAATTTCTCTAGTTTAAAATCTGTTAAATGGGTAAAAACTCCTTTACACTGAACCCATTATTACTTTAGACCTACATGTATATGTGATTCGGTCAGAAGGGGTCAAAAGGATTAGGATGGTCGGGACGGTAGGGGGAAAATGAGCTATCCTCCTATCCGTGAATTTTCCCATACAGCCTGCGTCTCAAAAAGCCTCTCCTAATCAAACTCCTGCTTGGCTTCTCGTGCCGACCCTGTTTAAAACTGATGGCAGAGGTGTGAAGGCGGGTTTCTGGTGCCTCAAAACCAGATTGCTCCAGGCGGGTGGGGCACGTAAGCCTTGGAAGGCAGCCCACCTAGGAGAAGGAAAACTCTGTTTCCAAACCCAGGCTGGTGAGGCCTGTTAGCCGCGGCAACCCACCGAAACCATTCGGCAGTGGGAATGGTGGAGTTGTTGATTAATTTCACGATTTGGCTCTAGGCGTCAGTCTACACGCTGACCAGACGGCGAAAGTCACTGCGAGGGCTGAGCCCCTTTAGGCAGTTGAGGACGTATTTTAGCTCCCTTCCGGTATCCCCTGCAGCAGCACCAGTGCCAAGTCGTATTGTCAGCCTGCCTTTCCATCTGGGTCCCACTGGGAACACCGAGAGGGCTCCACGGCAACTGGCATCTGCCCTGGGGACGAACGTTTTGCCAAGTCAGCAGAGGAAGTCCCACAGCAACAGCGACGAAGGCAACGACAGCAGGCTTGAGCAGCTGGAAGCTGTTAGCTAGACTCCTGCACATGGGCGGCCCAGACGTGATGGTCGTGCGCTCATCAACCACGAGCAGAGGCAGCGCTCGGTCCTGTCTGTGTGACCAGGCAGCTCTTTTTAGAGATAGCACTGCCTGCCTCATTCCGAGGACGCCCCTGGAAAAGGTGGGGTACACAAAGCCTGCTCGTCTTAACCCTGGCCAGACTATCGCATCTGGCAGGGCTCCATTACTGCGATCGAAAGAGTAACTGCCTCAAAAGACTGTCCGGAACAGAAAGATGCATCTGGTTCTTTCCAGCTGGAATGTGCGGACCCTACTTGACTGTGCTAACAACGAGCAGCCGGAACGGAAAACTGCCATTGTCGACAGAGAGCTAGCAAGATATCATGTTGACCTTGCTGCACTGTCAGAAACTCGGTTTTTCTGGACAAGGGTCATTAAAGGAACAAAACTACACCTTTTACTGGTCTGGAGGAGACTCTCATCAGTTTGGCGTTGGCTTCGCCATCAGTAACACCCTGACAAAATGACTAGATTCGCTCCCTGTTGCTATCTCAGACCGACTTATGAAGCTACGACTACCACTTGTTGGCAAGAATTATATCACCCTTCTGAGTGTCTATGCGCCAACCATGAACCATGACACTCAGACAAAGATGGATTTCTACACCACACTTGGCCAGGCATTACAGGTACCCAAGACAGACAAGCTGATGATGCTAGGGGACCTCAGCGCTCGTGTCGAAGCTGACAACATTACCTGGGACCAGGCGTTGGGTTCTCATGGGCATGGAAAAGCTAACTCAAACGGTTACCTCTTACTGGAACTTTGTACGGAGCATGATCTCGCTGTTACAAACACCTTTTTTGAAATGCCGGACAAGTGGTTCAACTCATGGCAACACCCTCGGTCCAAAAAATGGCATCTCCTTGATTATGTTTTTTTTCGCAGAGCCGACTTATGTGATATATGCTCTACCCGTGCAATGCGTTGAGCAGATTGCTTCACCGACCATTTCATGATCCGTACAGTTGTCAGACTAAACATCAGGAAAACCTACCGCTCCAGGGCAAAAAGGGACCAACTATGGCGTTTGGATACCTCTCAAGCTACATGTACGTTGCTGGCAAATGGTGCTTAGCCCTCAGACTCTCTCACAAAGAACGTGCAGAAACTTGTGGGTCCTTACAAGTCCTGCAATGCTTAGTGGGAAGAACTGAGCTCAACAGCCTATGATGTGGCTAAAGAAGTATTAGATTTCCGTAAACGGAAGCATGAAGATTGGTTTGACGAAAACGACATCACAATCGGCCTTTTGTTTGCTGCTGTTAGGACATACCGTCAACAAAAATTGTCTGGCAGAGCTACACGCAGCAGCACCACCAAGTTGCATGAAGCTAAGGCAAAAGTTCAAGCAGCAACTCGTGCTATGAAAAACAACTGGCGCTGTCTCGTTTTCACGTCTGAAAGACCGGCTTTGGAGTCAGCGTGGTATTCAACTCAGCACAAAATGTCGGGTATACAGGGCTGTGGTATTGAGGGCATTGCTTTACTCGGCCGAAACCTACGCACTCTACAGAAAGCACATAAACAGGCTCTCCGCCGTCCAGCTAAGACAGCTTCATACAATCATGGATATCTCCTGGAGGGATAAGATCACTGATGTTGAAGTTCTAAAACGAGCCAACATGCCTTTCATTGGATCCATTCTGGCCCAAATACAGCTTCGTTGGGCTGGTCACGTCCTACGTATGTCTGATGACCGCATCCCTAAGGCCTTTCTATACAGTGAACTGTCTCTGGGGAAGCAAAATTGTGACCCTTGCTTCACTACAAAGACATGTTGAAATGCAACATTAGTGTTGCCGGTCTCCCAGCAGACTGGAAACGTCTAGCCCAAGATCGTCAGACATGGCGGGCCCTAACCCAACAAGGGGCAGAATGGGTTCAAGAGGCTTGGGTCCGCTGACAGGAGGAACGGCGTGGAAGCAGGCACGCCCGTGCTGTTAAGACACCTCATGCCGGAATCGTCTGATAAGATGGCCCGACTACTACTACTACTACATGTGATTGTGACCAAGAGGTTAAAAAAATCTGACGATTAAGCGAGAAAAAATGCAGCTGTGGTCTTTTTATTATGGAGCAGTGTCAGTTTGGGATCACCGCTAGTTTTAGATCACTTGATTAAATAAGAATTAGTTCTCTGGCGTGTAATAATACTGTCTAACCAATGAAGTGGCGATTTAACAGGATACAGGGACTTTTATTGGAAGTTGTCCTGCAATTTCAAAATTTCAGGCTTTTATGAAATTCGCAAATGATGTCTGTGATGTTTAAATGGGATTGACATGTCATTTCCTGCCCACTTTGACTGATTCCACTTACATATTTTCCAAATAAGTTTAAAATGAATCCGCTTTCATGTACCTAACTCATCTACTGAATAAAAACAAAATTAATTATAATAAATACCTCCCTTCATATTTTATATGGGGTTATCCTCCCTAATTTATTTTAACTTTAGATATTATTTTTTCATTTTCCTTAATTTTTCGTTTTTTAAGTCTGTCTTAATTTCATCTTGGTCTGTTTTTTTTAATGCCCATATTGACACATTTCTTAGTGGTACTCTTGTAACTATTTGAATTCTGTCTGTAATCTGTATTCCCTTTTAATATAAACAGTTTCTCTCATCCACTGTCCCCAGATTTTTGTAATACTATTAGTAGCATTGTTATGAGAAATTAAATTAATTCATAAAGAATTTTCATCTTTTATGAAAATATTATCTTTTATTGTGAATTTGTCTTCAGCACATCGCCGTGATACAGCTGTTTCATAAATGTATTAAACTATTAAACCATTTGAATTCAATTCAGTGCATCCCCGGCATCAGCACTGACGAACACCACTGCATTCTCAAGGTCCCCCCCCTTCCACCGGGCAAATTTTAAAGAATAGCCAAGCTTTAGATTTTTCACTGTTTGGTGACAGTGGCAAATGACAGCCGGAACTGTTCCCATGATCCTTTAACTGGCATCATAATATCGACAAGAAGACCGAACTTTGATTGCGATGTGGTAATCTGTTTCACACTGAAATTGGTATTTTGCCGTTAAGAATGGCCATGTTTAATCTGTATGATTGCCCCACTTGCTAGTGGGGTCCATTTTCCCCTGGTCAAGTCAAAGTGATCACAACTGAAGTCATAGGAAGTTGAAGAGTATTTTGTTGAAAATGGTTCAGTAAATTGACACAAGTTTTGTGTTTGTGTTTATGCAACATCTCCCATTTGATACCTGAGGCAAAATTTCCTTTTTTGGTTGTCAGCTCTATGGTCTTGTGGCTGTAAATTCTATTTCACCCCCGCAAATTTGGTGTGAAACATAACCTATGGGTACTGTGGTATTTGTCCCTGTGGGCATTTGAAGCGCTGTGACCTTGCTCAACTCAACTGGACAGGGTGGTTTTGATGTGGACTCAGGATCTAGGATTGCCATTAGTGTCTGTCCTGCCCTGACCAGTAAGTCATCAAACATGGGGGGGACCTTGGTACAACTGACCTTGGCTGTGTTTTTATTGGCTAGTGACCTCTTACCTGTGGAGCATTTGACAGGGTTTGTACACTGAATGGTTGGCCTGTGAAATGATCAGGAGCTTGGATTTCATCCCAGTGCATTTCGAGACCTTGCTCCTGCACCAGTGGCCAAAGCATATTCTATTTGTTCACTGGTTCACATTATACATGGGTGTCAGATACTGCTGTTGGCAGACACACAGATCCTGACACCAATGCATAATGCCTTGTGTTATTGATCCAGGTGTGATTTTGCTGCAATTCCACAGGTCAGAGCAAAGCAAAGCAAAGCCTGGCGGCCGAAGGAGGTTGTTACCTACGACATACCGACAATGCCCGGTGAAAAGAAAGGTCGGTAAAGTTTATTTATCAATTTTTTTTTGGTATCAGAGTGGCAATTCTGTTTACTTGCCGGAGTTGAATCTACCACGTATGCTTGAAGCTAGCAAAGAATTGATTCGTTCTGGAGAACTGGGTTTTAGGCTTAAACACATTTTAGATTTGATGTTTTCTCAAAATTAGTGAGACAATGCTGAAACAATTTATGTCCCCTCCAGTTTATGAAATTTGAGGGAAAAGGCCACACTCATTTGAATGTATATTTCAATTATTGTATGTATTAAGTATTATTTTATGTTTAGATATATGTAATATTTGTATTCTTATTTTTAAAAAATTGTTGCAGTTCAACATTGTTCTGGTAACATTTGTCTCATTTTTGGCTAAGCAGTTCAAAAGTGTTTGGATTCCACAGTCCTATTTCTGTTTTGAAAAGATCTAAATAACTCCCTGTGGTTGTTGGGGTGTCCCATATTCGTGGTTTACAGTGTATCCTAGACATACATTTTTCTAGAATACACACAGAAAAATGGAAAGAATTGTCCATGTCCTATCGACGACAAAAGACTTCACAAATTTGGAGTGGCTTTCCCTTACCTTCATTTGCTAATATTCAGATACCAGTGTGCCCCTGCCAGATTCCTACAGCCCTGCCTACGTGGAGAGCGCTTGGTATGCTTGGTGGGAAAGGATGGGATTCTTCAAGCCGGAGTACGCGGTAGGCTGACCAGGGGGCCCAAGCTTTGGTTTTGTCCCCCACTTTTGCTTAATTTTTACCTCTCCCTGGCATGAGAGATTTTAAGCTCAATAAAGAAATGTATTTCACTGGTTAAGCATTGAATTGTGTTTAGTAATGTTATTTATGCCAAGATATTCAAGTATATTTTCCTGTTGTTGTAACTTTGTATAACAAGCGGTTTGTATTAAATGTGGTATTAAATACAGTTCAGGCTCATGTGTTTCGGGTCATGGACTGAAATGGTTATAAAGTTGTTGGTACTTTTTGGATAGCTATTGGCCTTTTGGGGACAATTTAGTCTTAGTGAAACCCCCGTTTTGCCATGAGAAGTGCTTGACACAAATGTTGTTTGTACGTGTACCTTGTTTTATTGTCAGGCCGGCAAGAATGCGGACGCCAAGCCTTACGTCACATGCCTTCCCCCACCCAACGTGACAGGCATGCTACATCTTGGCCACACGCTCATGGTAGCCATCGAAGATAGTTTAGTCCGATGGTGAGCCTCAAGTCGAACACCCCTGTTTTCTCATAATTCAAGAATGTTTCATAGATTTTGTACGTCTTCGTTTTAAGAATGCATTAACAAATAAGGAAACCACCACCGTAGGATTGGACAGCTCTCATGTTTGGTTGAAAGCTTGTACTTTAATAGTAGTCCAGAAATCATGCAATCAAATCCAACTTTAGTCAACTTCAGTTTTCTTCATTTCAATGAAAATTTAGGACAAGAGGTAAGCTCATTCTTTTTCATACAAAGTGGTTTATTTTTTGACTTGTTTAACCTGAAATAATTTTCAGCAAGACAAACATTTCAGGCCCATGTGTCGGAAAAATAGTGTACTGGGCTCAAGTCTGAGTGCGTGAGATTAGCCAGGCACTTTGGTTTTCCTTTTGCCTTATCCAAAGGCACAGAATGAGAGGGAGACCTACGCTCTGGATACCGGGCAGTGATCACGCCGGGATTGCCACCCAGATCATGGTGGAGAAGTCGCTCTGGCAACACCAGCGGAAGACCAGGCACGACCTGGGCAGGGCAAAGTTCACGGAGGAGGTGTGGAAATGGAAGAAGGAGTGAGTTTTGTTTCCGAACAAGATGTGGACAAATTTTATTTCTACCAGTATCTGATTCTAGTAAAAAAACTTGCATAAACTCACAATAAAATAAGTTTTGGCTATGAAATTGCACATTTTGCAGTTCTTTCTTTCGAAAATGACCACCGAATAACTGGTTATCTAATATGGGGTCACTGATGAATAACCTGCTTTAACCACTCCTATGCGGAAGTCACTCTTTGGTTCACTTGGTAAACACCTCAATGAAGCACAGCTGTGTCATGTTGTGCACAGCACCAACTGTCCCTCTTAGAAATAATTGCACTTTAGTGCTGCCTAACAACTGTGCTTCACTGTTTCATGTGCATAATTGTGCAGTAAACCAAATGCAGTGAAGAGGACTGCACAAAAGACCCTGTGTCATTTTGTGCTGGCACCCAACTGTGTACACACTGAACCTGTGCTTGTTTGAGTTCCGTATAGAAAACACATGCACACCAGTGACTGTGGGCATTTGTGCACATTTGTGCTGTAAAACCAAAGGAGGGTTAAACTTGCTAATTCGCACATTTGCCCATCTGGCAATGTATGGTACCCTTGACAAGACCTTGCTACTGAAGTGTTCACCAACTGAACTACCTTGCACCATTTTACCCCAATTTTTTTTATAGGCCACTTTTTACATTTGCCGTGTAACAATATATAAATCTCAGTCATTTCCAAATCTAATTCTCCAGGAAAGGGGATGAGATTTACCGACAGCTGAAACAGCTCGGTGCATCCTTAGACTGGGATCGGTCAAAGTTCACCATGGACGAGGTATGACGATTTTTCCCTTCCTACTAGCAAGTCTTAACCACAATGCAGATCCAAAGAGAAAATGTTGCCGAGCAAGTCCTCTAGCTGGGAAGTTATGAAGTTGTGAGCTATGAAGATCACATAAGCATTGAGTTGGTTACCAGCGTCTCCTGAGCAAACCTCCCTTTGTGAGTCCTTTGCCTTAAATCAAGTTCTTATGGTCTTGTACAACCAATTCCAAAATTTCAATCAAGTTTGCTGACACGGGGAAATGGTAGCCATGTCCATATATTTTGATACTGTCCTTGTAAGAACAATTTTCAATCATTTCCCTTCTCAGTTTCGTGTGAAGCTAGTCTCAACCAGTTCTTTTGACAACATTCTTCTCTTACAGTCGTGAAACTCTTTCTTCAAGTCTTGTTATAGAATTGTTCTGTGTGTTGCTAGGACTATGCGCACTCAGTGAGAGAGGCCTTCATACATCTCCATGACAACGGAACCATTTACCGCAGCACCCAGCTGGTGAATTGGTCCTGTTCTCTCAAGTCGGTGATCTCCGATATTGAGGTGAAGTCATTTTTATTGCATCAGAGAAATACTGTTTTGAATACTTGACCATTACACCTGGACATAGTGCTAGAATTGAGAATAAACATTGGCTTGCAAGAATTCAAGAAATATAAATTACCTGCCTTGTTATCAAAACCAATTTATGAAAGAACAGTAGTTTTGTTCATCTACAAGAGTTTTTTTAAACTGGAAGTTGGAATTTTATTGTCTGTTTTGGCTTATCTCCCGTTAAGGTTGAATCCAAGTCCATAGATGGCAGAAAAACAGTGACAGTACCTGGATATGCCGAACCTGTCGAATTTGGAACCCTGACTCTGTTTTCCTACCCTGTGCACAATTCAGGTATGCCGCTGTGTACTGATTGTTCAGTAGCTGTCAATACTGGCCGGCTAATTGACTGGCCGGTTGGCCAGTTGATTGAATGATCAAAATAACTTCTGATTGGTGTGGATTGACTTGATAGTTGGCCGATTGTGAAGCCGTTAGTGTTACGCATCCCCATTGGCCGTTACCTGTTTTTGAGTCTATTGGCTATTTGGTATGTTTGCAAGATGTGGATTTTTGGTGATCAGTGAGTGGGCTTATTTCTGTCTGGTGATGGGCCTGTCTGCCGTTAAACTTGTCATGTGGAGATCAGTGTTGTAGTCGAGACCATCACAAGACCAGACACAAGACCATGTGCAAGACCATGCACAAGACCATGCACAAGTAACAGGTTGAACAATGACAAAGGAATGCTTTTGTTGCAGTTCATTTGAATAGCTTGTGACTTGAATGCAGACTGGAGGTCTTGTGCTGGTCTCGTGTGGTCTTGTGAAGGTGTTAAGTGGTCTCGACTACAACACTGGTGGAGATGCATGTCGGCATCTAGAATTGATGGCTTTCGAGATTTGTTTGGTTTGTTTTCTAGTTAACTAAATTTGCTCATTGAACTCGGGATGGTGGAATAAATTTATGAGGAGTTCCTGCCTAAAAAAATCTGACTGTTTACAGATGAGAGCATCACCGTGGCAACCACCCGCCTGGAGACAATGCTGGGAGACACGGCATTGGCTGTCCACCCCGACGACATGAGGTACATTCATCTGATTGGACAGACGGTGGACCACCCGTTCATGGGGAAGTCACTGCCGATCATAGCAGACCCCTCGGTGGACCGCGAGTTTGGGACAGGTATTAATTTCCACACCCTTTCTGTGACCTTGTCACGATGCCTATTTCACCCTCAAGAATTCTAAATTTCGAGATACAAATCCTGCAAAGACTATCCTCTAACCATTGCCCCAGCGCCCATCTCATATGTACCCCACAGCCTTGTTGCATTTTAAATTGACAGTTGCAACACTCCATCAAACTCTTACACATTTGAGTATGAATCCCTTTAATTCTATCCACACATTGCTTCAACACTCAGTTCATCATATCTCAACCGATAAAGTTGTACCACAATCTTGTTACATTTTAACATGACAGTTTCAACACTCCATCAAACTCCTACACATTTGAGTATGAATCCCTTTAATTCCATCCACACATTGCATCAACACTCGGTCCATCATATCTCCACAGATAAAGTTTTGCGATGTCCTTGCTGCACTTCTGTTTGACACTTACCAAACTCCCTCAAAATCCTACCTGTATGGTTACAGATCCTTCAAATTCTATTCATGGACTGATCAACGCTCATTCCATCATAACAGCTGTTTGTTTGTACCTCTGCCTTGCTGCATTTCTGTTTGACACTTACCACAACTTATTAGAACTTAAATATAGTAATTAAACTAAGAAATCTGCATGATATTGTAGCTTGGAAGCCCAAAAGACACCTGCTTAGATAAAGACAATGAAGCGGTGCTTAATATTAGAGGTGTCGGAAGAACCCGTGGAATCAGGGACGGAAAACTTCACCACTTGAGTAGTGATGATTTCATCGCAATGATCTCCCATATCCATATGCTCCTCATCAGGGGTCGTCAAAATCACGCCTGCCCACGACTTCAGAGACTACGACTTAGGTCAGCGCCACAACTTGCCATCTGTCACGGTCATCAATGATACGGGCTGCATGACAGAGGACTGCAGACAATTCAAGGTAAACTTTGCTTTTCCAGAGAAGTCGCCCATCCATTACTTCAACTGAATTTTGTACTGTGGCTCTGTATCGAGATTAAATATAAATATATGATTTATGGGTCACGTGATTTTTTTTGTGTGTAAGTAGTGTTTGGATAAAGTTATGATGAATTTGGATGTAGTTTTAATTTTGAAGGATAAAAATTCTCTCCTGTACTCGTTTGTCATTTCATTTCTGTTCCCGAGACCTACTGAAGGTCCTAGGCTATGTTTCGCACTTTCAGATCCAACACCCAGGACGTCCAGTGCGTAAACGATGTGTACCTTATGTAAGGGGGGAGCCCAGCTCTGGCTAGTGCATGCTGAACTGAAAATCTTTCTGGTAATTTTGTCATCAGGGCATGAAACGTTTTGAGGCACGCAAGGCCGTTGCGGAAGCTTTGAAAGAGAAGGGTTTGTTCGTCGGGGCAAGGGATCACCCTATGGACATTCCACTGTGCAGGTAAAAAAATACGGCAGTGGAGTTGATGTCTCCACTTGAAACGGACACAAATGCATCGCACGCCGTCCAGTTCAAATGAAGTCGGACCCTTGGTCATAATTCGTCCTCTGTTAGTTGTCAACTGTGACTTTCAGTAAAATTGATTGGAAGCATTGGCAAGGAAGGAATCTTAACTGGAGAAGCTATGATTAACCCACACTGCCCTCAATCATCTCTTTTAGTGCTTTTCAGAACCGTATAAAGAGAGTTGTGCCAACCTTAGGATTTGGAAACAAAATGGCGGGCTGTTATGTGTACAGTACCGCATGCAGTTATTGTGTGCTCATTGCCCATGTGCACTGAGACATAATCCACTATGTTGGGCCCATTAATTGAGACACTCATGTCGCAACTCTCTTTAACCCCTTGACGATGGGAATTTTTTATTCCGAAAGCCGACTCCAAGAATTCCAGCCTCGCTTGGCCCCGAAGGCCACCTGCCAAACCCCAAATTCTCGGTTTGTGGCCCTGCGTGCTCTGCACGCTTTGAAAAGGCTCATTGTTCGGTGGCATGCGGCTCTACTCATGCTTCCACTTTCCCGTTGCCTCTTTTCAAAGTGGAGACTATTTTGACGCTGGTGATTATGATGCAATTTCGGCCTTTACATTTCTTGGCAACACACAAAGGCCAATCACCATATATACAAGAGCCAGGGTCTGCCTTCTTTCACTGTGATCGCTCGAGCGTGGGCCGAGAATAATAGCTGAAAAGTGGGCTGAGGATCTCAATTTTTACAGTGGCTCTTACCCTCTCCCGGCGCGAAGGGGTTAAATGGCTGTGGTGCATGTTGTCACACACACCAGGGAGGGTCGGGGGGGGGCAAATGCCTCGGAAATATTTGTTCTTTTGATCGTAGATTTATTCATCAGCGGTTAATAAGCTTTCCCCATGTTTCCCTCGCTGTTTCTCAGGCGATCCAAAGACATCGTCGAGCCGATGTTGAAGACCCAGTGGTTTGTTGACTCCAGGTGGATGGCTCAGGAAGCAGTTGCATCCGTGGAGAGCGGTCAACTCAAGATTGTCCCAGAGGTTCACAAGAAGGTGTGGTACAACTGGCTGAAAAACATCAGGTAATGTTCCAAACCACCCCTGAAAAAAAAAAAAAAAGATTTCACCAAACAAAAAACCAATGCCTTTTTTCAACATCCAAAAATGCCCAGTGTTAGAAGCCACATTGGTGCTACCCTGCATATGAAGAGACCAACTCTTACATTTTTGTGACACGTTTTCTGACAAGTTTGTGTTTTTTTCCTGAAATGCTCTCACAGGGATTGGTGCATTTCTCGCCAGCTGTGGTGGGGCCATCGCATCCCTGTGTATCACATCACCAGCTCTGATGACACTTACAATAAACATTTGGTGAGCCTTTAAGAACAGGGTCGTTAACGAGAGGGCTAGAGAACTGAAAAGACAGTCTACTTATTCTTGTCCCACTTTGTTGATGATCGAACATCTTGGCTACTGTGCTCTAAAGCTGTCTGTTATCCACTCTGCCATTCTCTGCATGTTTTGGAGAACCAAATTACAGCAAAATGCCTTGCCTAGGGACACAAAAAGTTCCTCTTTTCTTGTTCAAGGTTTTGTTAGGCGTACTATACAGAGAGTAGGTTTTCTTCACCAGCACCTTACCCGCTTCCTTTCACACTGCCTTAATGTCCAGATATTTTTTTGAAATGAATCGTTCGTTGAACAGGTAGAGCCCAAATCCTTCAGTTTTGTTCACTGTCGACCAAAGTATGCATCTGCCTGTCGTTTCCCCCATTGCATGCAGGACAATTGCTGGGTGAGTGCCCACACAGAGAAGGAAGCTGTTTCAAAAGCTGCTGAAAAATTCCAAGTTCCAGTTGAAAAAATAAAAGCCGAACAAGGTAAGTGGTTTGTCAGTTACCTGTGTGATATCTCATTGTGCTGATGTTTCTGAGGGGAGAGGTGGGATGTTTCACTTTCAGCCTAAAGAGAGCAGGTTTTTTTCACTTTCAAAAGAGGAGATTAGATCTTGAGGCTGCTTTTTTGTCTGAATGCCATCTGATTTCAGGAAGAAGAGGAGGTGATTGGAAGGGTCTAACAAAGACGGCATTTGAAAGTACATGTAGAGTCATTTTGGCTTGGCGGAATATGAACTGATGAGTTTGATATTGCTAACTTAATAGAGTAAGCTCTCTTTAAAAATCATGTACTGGATTTTTCTACCCTGCTGTAGATCCAGATGTTCTGGACACATGGTTTTCCTCTGCCCTGTTCCCCTTTGCAATTCTCGGCTGGCCGGAGAAGGTGACTTCTTTTTTTTTTAAACCAGTGTGAAAATTTGTTTAAACCTGTGGAAGTTAATTGCATTCCTGCTGGATGTCGGTCACGAAGGATTTATTCGCAGATTTGACTGCCTGTTTGTTGCCAATTTACAGACTTCAGATCTGCAGCGTTATTTCCCCACCACCATGCTGGAGACTGGTCATGACATCCTCTTTTTCTGGGTGGCTCGCATGGTAATGATGAGCAGTGAACTCATGGGCAGGCTGCCCTTTACCGAGGTACGGACAATCATAGATTACTGTTCAGCATAACATAACCAAAGATTCCTCAAAGCATCATAGGCACTGTAGCTTGCAAGCCTGAAGAAACCTGTATAGAGAGGAGCTATTGAGAGGTAGTGACGGTTTTGGAGGTGGGAGGAAAACCCCAGAAGAATATTCTGGTTGAAATCCGTGGAATCTGGTAGGGGCTGAGTACCCAATTTACGTGTGGATTGAGGCCCGGATTTGGTCCTAGGCTGCAAATTTGAAAGGCGAGGAATATAACCCACTTTGCTAACCTGACTCCTCAGACATTAAAGTTAAAGACAGGAAAAAAAATTTGATATGTTGGATGGCTGTCTGTCTTCAGTAAATTCTTGTCCACAGCCTTGCAGGCTCTCCGATAGTAAAGTCCACTTCTCTTCCTACGTCGACAGGTGTATCTGCACTCCATGGTCAGGGATGCCCATGGTCGCAAGATGAGCAAATCATTGGGGAATGTCATCGATCCACTGGACGTGATCCACGGAAGTTCCTTGGAGGTAGAAGTTCACAGAAATTCAGGAGGAGGCAGATTTGAAAGTTCGGACATCGATTGCTTTTTCGGCCTGAGTCTTAAACATTCTCGTTGACACTTTGATGTTTTATACTCAAATTATTGCATGATTTTTATCGTTTCTTCTTTTTTCTCCGCAGGATCTGCACAAGAAACTGATGTCGGGTGTGAAGCTTGACGAGCCAGAACTGAGCATAGCCCTGAGGGGTCAGAGGTCAGACTTCCCTAATGGGATACCAGAGTGCGGGACCGACGCATTGCGGTTTGCCTTGTGCACGTACAAGGCCCAAGGTAAGGAGAGGCCGACTGCTTGCACTCAGGAATCTTTGACGTTAATACCAACATTCTTCCTGCTAAAGACACTTTTTTCCGTCCTTTTGAGGTCAGTGATTTAACAAGAGAAAACATGTTTTCATACAGCGGCAAGGGTATTTTGTTTCTGTTTGAGCAACACATCGCAAACCCATGCAGGTAAGTGTGTGCATCACACGGGGCATGTGCGAACAATTTTAGAGGGATAGGTTCGTCTTTACCTTGGTGTCGGGTACCAAGTTGTGATAGTTTGCCCACCAGCCTTTCTTCTTTGGTCTTATGCAAGGAATGGATGAGCGCTGGATAAATTGTGAGCACTGTTTTTGATGCAGTTATATCAATGTAATCACGGCAGGCGTTCTTTCATTCTACAGTCGAAGACCTGAATCTGAATATTGACACGGTTCTGGAGTACCGTCACTTCTGCAACAAGATATGGAATGCCGTCCGGTTCACACTCAATCGACTGGGCCAGGATTTTACCCCTCTGACCCTGCATGAGGTGATTCTCAAGTAATGGTTGCTGGAAATTGGCCAGATGTGTAGTCGGCCAGAAAAGTATCCTTTTTTTCTTTTGGTAGTCCTGTATGTGGACTTGTATTGTAGGTCTGTGAACCTTAGGGAACGCAGCCACTGTGTATTGAAAGAAAGGCAAAGGCAGCAGAATTTGACAGATGTGAAAATTCTTTCGGATGAAGTGTTCATGTCCTGTTACCTTCGTAGATTTCTTCCGAGTTGCTGCCCATGGACCGTTGGATCCTCAGCAGGCTGTCTGCGGCTGCTGAAGCCTGCAACTGGGCCTTGGAACAGTACGAGTTCCCGACGGCAACCACTGCCATTCACCAGTTTTGGATACAGGCCTTCTGTGATGTCTACTTGGTGAGTGTTTCACGAGACTTTGGCTGTGTCCCCAGCGCGGAAACCCCTCTCCAAACCCTTAAAATTTGGTGGTATCATTCCAGGTGGGGCTTGCCCCAGGCATGTGATTATGTTTGGCTAAAAAAAAATGACTTTTGAAAACAATATGCCACAGCTGCACTCCTTTACAAAGTTGGGCTTTACAAATTCTCACCCTTAATTGTCAGTTGTTCGAATTTTGTGTGGCAATTTTTACTGCATTGTCACTATTGCAAAACTCTTGAGCAGACTTGTGTCACTGAGCAATATTTTCTGCAATGCCTGGCCGTAGCCCTTGAGCACTTGAGGGCAGAACACCTGCCCAACGTCTGTGGACTTGTTCAAGTCCAGAAAGTTTCATTCCGTGTCTCTGTTTCCTGTTGAAGGAATCTGTCAAGGGCACCCTAGCCTCTGCTGACCAGCAGTCTGTTCGAGCAGCTCAGAACACCCTGTACCACTGTGTACATGCCGGCCTGCGTCTCCTCAGTCCGTTCATGCCATATCTGACTGAGGAGCTGTATCAGAGGCTACCAAAGGTCAAAGGTGACGACTGTCCCAGCGTGTGTGTGGCCAAGTATCCAATCAGCAATCACGTGAGTTGAGAGCATGAAACCCTCGCACTGCATAGTTTTTGGACGGCACATTGATACCATGGTAAATAAACCATTCCCTCTAATGGCCAGGAAATTTTTATTCCAATCTGCCATTGGTTATTTCCTCCGAGGTCGTAGGTTATACTTTGCTGCGATCTTTCCTCTGAACAGTTTCCCACCAGAGACACAAAGCTGGAGCAAGAAGTGGAGTTGGTCATGGACACCGTTCGCACGATGCGCTCTGTCCAGAAGGAGTTTGGCATCAAGATGCCTGAGGCGTCAGGTAGGGTAGAAAGACTTAGACAAGTTGTGCTTTCAGTTAATGTCTCTGCAGCTGTATTTTTTTTTTACTTTTCCTGCAAATGACAGTTTGTGTTCCAGGCGTTTGGCTTTTTTGGATTGTCATACTGTTGCTGGGATTGGAAAACAAAAGTGAAATGGACTTGTCCTTTTGGCTTTGATACAACACATGGATTTGTAATATTTAATTTATGGCAAACCAGGCCCCGGAAAGATTACTTTTACTTCAATGTGCTTAACTTTTATTCGCGGTTTTATTATTCCATGCGGAGACTGGTGCATTTGGATATTTGTTAAATTTTTTTTATCAACAGCTCAAATAGTTTCAGATGACATGTCGATTCAAAAGACGCTGGAGAGGTTTTCTGATACCATGGCAACCCTGTCTCGCTGTTCCTGTGTTACTGTTACATCAGTCGCACCACCTCCCTCGGGATGGGTGTACGGCCTTGTAAATGACTCAAGCACTGTTTATGTCAGTGTAAAGGTGAGGTTGAATCAAACTGTTTGATTACAAATAAGAAAACAATCTTTGAAATTTGGTGGATTGGGTTGAGTAATTGGGATGTGGACTTAACAGTTATAAATGGTCAAACGTCAAGAAGGGTTCCATCTTGGCTGCATCGGAATGTGCACTTGGGACATTAGAGATGTAAACCTCATTCAATGAAACTTTCGTGACTTTTCGAAATCTGTTTGAAGCTGCTGTTCTGACGATAACTTGTGCTGTAGTTTGCCATACACTATCCGCCTTTGATGTGATCACCGGTTTCCAGTACAAAAGGATTTGAAAGTCATTGTCATCCCATTTCTTCAATGTCACATTCAGGACTCGATAGACTCAGAAGACTTAATTAAAAAACTGACCGCTCGACGCAAGAAGCTGCTCACGCAACTGGATAACCACGTGAGTTCCACAAAGAGTGACATCGAGAAAATACCACTCAGAGTCCAGGAGGCTAACAGACAAAAGGTAAGCACGCGTCCTTCATTGATATGCATAGAAAAGGTCAAATGCTGCAAAACGGCGGCCTTGGGAAGGACTCGCACAGGTAGAAAATCCTGATTAACCCCTTCACGGCAGGATTATTTTGACCACGACTGCTGAGCTGTGGTATGCCCTGAATGGAGGGCTTTGTCCAGCAGCAGGCCCCATTGAACCAGCAGCTGCGTGGTGAATAGACTGTATGCGTGGTATGCACTAATCCTCACATAATGGTGCGGTAGTAGCAGTCCTCCGCAGCGAAGGGGTTAAGTTAAACATTTCTTCCCAAAATGGTTATCAAAGTATGTAACCAAGATGGTTAACAAAGTACATGTATGTATCGTTAAAACTGTTGTTGTGGCAAAAGAAGATGTGGTGGCTACGTTTTTATATATCATTTCACTTGCATCCCGTTTTGAATGAAATAACGCAGCCTGTGTTTAAATTATCACCTTCCTCATGGTACTTTCCTTTTTTGATAGACACTTCGTCTGCAGTCACAGTTGGAGAAGCTGGAGAGCACGCTCAAGCAGTTGGAAGATGCCAGTTGACCTTGAGACATTTAGTCATTCCGAATCTTTTGCATAAGAATTTATTTACACCTTTTTTTAACTGGCAAGAACACATTACATGTACTGTCCTGTGACACATCGTGTCTGACACATTCATGTGTTCCAATTTCCAAATGTTTCTTCAATAGTTTTATCATTTCTGCACATCAGAAGAAAGTTTATTTTTTGAATTTATGGAAGGTTTAGTAGCCGTTCATTGTTTTTTTTTGTACACCTAATCTGAGGAATACTGGAATTTGATACTGTGAATTCACACCACTTGAATACTTTTTTAACAGGAGCATCAAATTTATTGGCACTTAGTGTGTGGATAGATTTTGATTCCAGTGAATTTTTACCAAGAGCTGCTTGTGCTGTGCCGAAAATGTTGATTGGTAAATTTATGTGCTAACCAGCATCAGCTAAATACCAGTTATGGGCACTGCACTTTAACATGGCTTTTAGCTGGTAATGTGACTCAGCTAAGCAGGAGTTTCTGTGCTGTGCAAAGTTTATATGCTATTTCCAAATTGCCTCTCACTGCTTCGTTCAGAAGGATATTTGGACAGCGCTGAAAAATGTATCTGCAATTATGCTACAGTATGTTTGGGAAAGGGTTTGTTTAGTCTACTGTTGCATGTATTATTTTGAGCCACAACTGACACAAATGGTTCTCAACTCATAAATTTTCTTCCCCAAAATAAACCAAGTTTCAAAATATTCAAAGAAGTAAACTTAGAGTGTTGGAGTCGATTCTGTCACAAGTCCCTGTCCCAAGTTGTTCAAATGATGTGTGATAAAAGCATTCCTTTGCCCTTTTTCACCATGTTACCTACGACTGGCCTTGTGAAAAAACTCGCGGTAGACTGGGCTGTAACACTAATTGCCAGTTTGAGGGACATTTTAAGTGGATTTTTTTTTTCAATGAGTTGGCCGGTTGGTAGGTAATAGACCTACTTGAAGATAAAAGAGCGAATCAGTGTGAATAAAAATTACGTACGTGCTCTTTCATTGTGTGTTCTTTCATTCTGTGTCTATTTCTGAGAGGTTTTTTTTATCTTTTCTTAGTAGCTTCCTAATTGGGGGGTGGTAGGAGAAACACTGATGAAATTTAACATTTTAGTTTGGATCAAGAAGTTTATCGGAGCCCCCAAACTCTTCTTTTTGGCCCAGGAGAGCCAACCAATCTTGTTCCAGAAACTGTCAAAAGTAGCCAAATTGCTTGTTTGTGATGAACCAACAGAATATGAAATTGCAACCAAATATACGTACATATTTCAGTTTATTTATCATTCTTGTTTTCAAGTAAAAATTCATTTTCCACGTAGATTGAGAATACTCATTTCAAGTTTGATCAGTGCATGAATCCTAAAAGTGTATTGCTGGGGTACCCTCAGGTAGTTTCTAATAAGAAGATGGTTTTTCATAAAACGCTTAGTAATTCAAGTAAAGGCATGCGAAGAAAATTACAGAACTTGTAAGCTCAGGAAAAGTACTTCTGTTGTGATAATTATATAAAAAGTCGCTAGAAAGTAGTGTAGCGCCCTCGGCGGCTGCTCGGTAACAAGTGGTGGCCGCAAGAAAAAAGGTGTCGAGAAACCGCCGTTTTATAAAACAAAAGTGAGCAGGCCTTGTCCTTGGCGCGGGCACTATCACTTTAATTACCGACTGGGCACAATGCACGTGGGCTGGCCGTTCTAGTTCTTCGCCGTTGGGTGCACGAAGGGGCGGAGTGGGGGGCGAGTCGGGGGCGGATACGCAAAAGTACTTGCGCAAGTTTATTGCAAAAAGTGCCAAATCATTATGGTACTTTGCATATAACGTGTACATATGTACACCGTTGTATTCTGGTTGCGGTGAGTTGACAGCAGGTCACTAGTGCTGCTGGTGTTTCTTGTTGATTTGCTTCCTTGCTCTGTCGGTCTATTCCAAATTCGAAGAAACATTTCTCTCCGACGTGAGCTGTGTTTTTTGGTGTGTATTAAATGCTGAGATTGTGAGAATGCTGTGTCTATTTGTGCTTGGTTTCTCGAGTGGAATGCCATCATGATCATAATCGAAAATGGGCCTCGTTGTTTATGTTTGGTTTGTACATGAATGCTAACATTCGGACTGGAAATAGCCTAGGCAGTAGTGTGAGCAATAGAAGTTGAATTAGAATAGAGGAATTGTATTTTTGATGCATTGTATTATCTCCTGCCTGTCAGTGTTTGTCCGTATGTGTATCATTGCCAAAAACATATTCATGTCTTGTATTGCCCTAAAGTTTGCCTTTGGAATTTTAAATTTTAAATTCCAAACGCAAACTTTTGGGGCTTTAGTGATATTTCCGACTTCAAAATCAGTCAAAATCCAACCGTTTTTGCTTGACACACGCACGACACATAATAAGAAAGCCAGAAGGTGGTGAAAAAGGTATTTTTGGTGAGTCTTTGGAATTTTTGAGAACCGTTGTTACTTGACAATATGTAATGTTGTGGAGCGTCAGTATGATCCCGTCCAAATTTGAAAAAGACGAATACTAATGTTCCATTTAGTAGAGCTAGGTTTTTTTGTTGGGTTTTTGGGTAAGAAATGTCCACATGTGTCGAACTAACAGCAAGTTCATGATCGAAAGATATTAGCACAGTAGAAGACCCTGCTCGATTTTCCATATGTTTGTCAATACAGTCATAGCCGCAGCCAATAATTCGGATGTGGGTGTGTCTGATCAGTCAGCAGTGCTGTTCCGCTCACCACCCTTACCTCCAAGCTTCAATTGAATGGAGCTTTGTCCTTTCCTAGCGTGCGTGTCCAATAGATGGAACGGCCTCCAATCAAGAATGAACTAGTCTCATCAGGGACATGTTGGAGGGTCAGGCAGGGATGATCACCAGTCTTTGTTTTTTTTTTACTTGGCCTAACTAAGCATGATTGACGGTTTATTGACTTAACTGTGCATGTTCTTTGCTGCCTTCTGGCCTAAAATGCTTCTCAAGTGAAACTTGATGCACAGCCATCAGGTCCTGCCAGCGTGCTTAATTAAACCTGATCTCAAATACAAATAAGTGATTGCTTGAGTGATTTTTCACAAATACATATGAACAAATAGAAAGAGTTGCACACAAGGACATCACTTGACACCCTGTGCACAAACCCTATGAGACTGGTCTGAAAAACCCTAACTTTAAGTACACCTGTTCCCTGTGTAAACACTTCAAAATTTCCCTTTGCTTAATTTGACAGTTTAGGACATGTTATCACTTTCTGATGGCTGATATGTCACTGCAAGGAAATTAGTGATGTGTGTATATGGAGCTCTTACCCAAAAGATAGTGAAGCATTGAAAGAATTCCTTACGGACGCAATGAATTCTCCCTGCATCAATCTCCATCTGAAAAGTCCTAAAAAGTCAACAAGTTCTGGTATTAATAAACAACATGCACAGTCAATTCTACAATGTTTGATTTATTCATCTTGTACAAATATGACAAGTGACAGTTTCAAACTATACCCAGCTAGAAATGAGCCCGAGGGGTGCCCCCCAACATGTCCAATCC